TTCGAATCAAGGCTCGTTCGATGTCCCACGCACTCCCATATGCCTCTGAGTGACACTACCGCCGATACTGATCCGAGTAGTCTTGCCTGCGCCGTTACAATAAGTAGCTAGAAGATTCTATAGATAGTATCTTAAAGGCTATTTCTACACTAAATCTGACGAAGGAGTAGAAGAAGTTTAGGAAATAATTTTGGAGTAAAGAGAGCTAGGTATAGATAGGTGCGACGCTATATTTCATCTAGAAGCATCTAAGGACAGTTAGTAGGGATAAGGCGGAGGAAGTTGAATGATATGTCGTAACTTTTATAGTAGATCAGACGTGTCGTTCGAATTAGCGCGTAACGGTATCGATAGGTAAAGCTAAGGATGGCCGGAGTGGTTGCTGTTTTGAATGTCTACTTTACTTACTAGTCTTAATAAATCTCGGATTTTTTTCTCAAACAAATGCATCTCAGAAAACCGAAGCCAAACATAGTACAATAACCTTAAGTTTAGAGGTATTCTTCTTACGGTTACAGAAAAATATCACTTGAAATGCTATAGCGTAATTCTGTACTCAATCTCTATTGCATAATAAGATTAAGTTACACACTGGATTTACACCAAATTGAAGAGGCTGCGAACAAACAATCGAGTCGGTTTAACTGCTCTTAATGTATTCAATGGCCAACTCAAACAAAAATAGATCATTAGCAGTAGCAGTAGTGGCATTAGTGACGATGGCAGTAAGAGGGGTGATAGCAAGTATCCCGAGACGGATGATATCCGCTGCTAGTCATCTAGCCGTTACAATGTGTCGGCAAACGTCCTTTCCCCAGCCAGTTAGCGTTATTTGGACCCATAAATCCCCAAAACACGAAGGATTAAGCCAAACACAGCCTCTGTGTCTTTACACATTCCTCAAGATTGCCACCGAGATCGCAGTCCCAAAAAATGACTTTAGTGACGCTAAGGACGCTTGTAGTTGACGTAGAGCTTTCTCGCCACCTGATCATCATTGGTAGCGAAAGATGCGTTTGCGGACACGTTGTAGTTCATTTCAATTGGCCTAAATAACGAATGTGATTAGCGAAGCCTTGTAATGAGTTCCATTATTAGGAAGCCAACCAGCGATTACGTCAGAAGGTGACGATCGAGTCGGGGCAACGATCATGTGACTGATATCGCGCCAAGACGGGGGTATGTCCGATGCTACTGACATTAGGATGAAAGACTGATGCTAGGATGCAAAGCAATAGGTACAAAATGTAGCCGGCTGAATGCTCTCTGTGTAGAGAGCTATGTCTTTTTTCTTTCAGCTAGTTATGCAACATATCACGTGAAGATGACAGTCACACAACTTCGTGTACATACCCTCAAGTGAACAAGTAAGATGATGTGAACCAGTGTGGTGAAATAGCTCTACTTGTTACTATTATTCTTATTCCCAATAACTCAACATTTACTCGTTCAACAGGCCTTTTCGACTACAACGAGAAGAAGGATTTCTAGTAAAAGGTAGAATAAGTATCGAGCCAACTTGAGTTACAAAAGAAAAAACAACTATTCAAGCACAGCCACCTCTCTCCAGCATATTTGCTAGGCAAGTGCGGGACAGGCACTAGTGAATAGCGTCCGCGGAAGTGCGTCAGTAGCGCTAATTCTGGTTGAGTGGGGAGCGCGGCTTCAAGCGAAACACGTTACTGTGTATACTTGAACAAGGTAGGCAGGCAGATCAATGAACGCAAACCACTCCACATCTTTCTTCCCACATCTAATAACCTATGTTCTCCAAACTCTAATATCATGTCGCAAGCCACACTCACCCTACTTTCCCCTTTCGAGCCCGCCTCCGTTCACCTCCGTTCGGATGCTGCTCGAGGGTTCACTAAGAACATGCCGTGCGCCACCGCCACTAACTCCGCACCCCCTCCGCTATATTACTGGATCTGAACACATCAGCTGGCGTCGGGCGTTCATGGAAGATCTTTCAACGCACCAATAATGAGTGACCGGGAAAGGGGAACGGGCTGTCAATGACAAGCTAAGAAATCGCCACGCAAAAGGGGGTGATCTGCAAGCAGGGAGAAGGCGATCTGATGTGACCCCATTTCTCTACTACACAGTTTGCAATTGTCTAAATTGCCATGCTGCAGCCTCAAACTTTGTGTGTTGCTTGCTAATGCACATTCGCTATGCCATCTTTTGCAAAACTGCAGCTAGGACTTTCATTCTTCCATGGCGGCTGGGCGAACTTCAAAGGGTCTAAATGCAAATTCGCTATATGAACACCTTCATTCTCAAATGTGCTACTCAACTTCAACATGAGAGTCGCCGTTTCGCTCACTGGGACCCAAATGTTCGATGCTGCCAAGGAACCGAGGGCGAGTGGGGGTGAAGGGCCTCAGACATATGCAGGGGAGAGACCAGTGGATCGTACGCTGTTTATCCTACTATCCCTAGCTATCGTGACAATGTCGTCGCTTCTACTTGGTTGGTATTTGGGATTCGCAGTCGCATCTACTCTACTAATGCAATTGTAGGCTCTCGCTTCAATCGGTTAAGGCGCAATGCCGGCATGAAACGAAACATGACTTTCACGCTTGTGCTCCTCTTGTATGTCCTGCTCATGATGTTCGTTATCGCTCTCTTGGTATTGCACAGCGGCCAAGGGTTGTATACCTACAACCTTTGCCTTGCAACTACCTGGGTTTGTCTTGTCCTCTATTATTATTATTATTATTATTCCATTATAGTCCTGTATCAGCCGTGGGCTATGTAGGACTTTGGCCAAAGGCCGTTCTATCTAACTAGTAACAATTTGGTACGTTGTGCTGTATTGCGTGACTATGGTGCTTCGGCCTTTGTCTAGTTAAGCTAGTACTAGCTTTCTAGACGCCTGGTGCTAAAGAGCAGTTTGGTAACAGGGAGAGATGTAGGGCAGCTAGGCTGCCTTCCAGCGAGCTCTCTTAGGGGGAAAGGAAATATTTTCAGCTTGTTTAGTTTTATAGAGTAACTCTCTCTAGTTTTAATGAGTAGCTCTCTCGTTCACTTTTAGTGAGTCTTCCTCTCAAGTTTTAATGAGTAGCTCTCTCGTTCTGCTGGGGTGCTATTATAGCGGGCGGAGGCTATCTTAGCGTTTGAGTATTTTTGCTAGTACAGTTCACAACTACTGTTCTAGCGTTTTGACTTGGTGCTTCTACAGAGATAACG